CTGTTCAATACATTCTGTTCAATCCACTTGTAGTCTAGAGCAAGGGTTATGCCCACCTAGATGGATTGTAAGATATATAGTGCCTTCAGAAAGTATTCACACCCCTTCACTTTTTCCACACTTTCTTGCGTTACAGCCTGAATTAAAATTGATTACATTTGGATTTTATTTGTCACTGGCTTACACACAATACCTCATAATGTCAAAGTGGAATTATGTTTTTAGACATTTGTACAAATTAATAAAAAAGGAAAAGCTGAAATGTCTTGAGTCAATAAGTATTCAACCCCTTTGTTATGGCAAGCCTAAATACGTTAAGGATTAAAAAATGTGCTTAACAAGTCACATAATAAGTTGCATGGACTCATAATAGTGTTTAACATGATTTTTGAATGACTACCTCATCTCTGTACCCCACACATACAATTATCTGCAAGGTCCCTCAGTCGAGCAGAGAATTTCAAACACAGATTAAACCATAAAGACCAGGGAGGTTCTCCAATGCCTCGCAAAGAAGGGCACCTATTGGTAGATGGGTTAAAAAAAAAGCAGGCATTGAATATCCCTTTGAGCATGGTGAAGTTATTAATTACACTTGGTGTATCAATACACCCAGTCACTAGATAGATACAGGTGTCCGTCCTAACTCAGTTGCCGGAGAGGAAAGAAACCACTCAGGGATTTCACCATGAAGTCCAGGCCCAGTGCACGAGGGGGCAAAAGGGGGCAATGCCCCCTTGGTTGGAATATAGGGAGTTTTGTCTCCCTATTCTATCCCGCAATCTGCCCCCTCCGTCATGCCCAACCGATTTGTTCTGTATGCTTCATTCATGCAACTCCCTTGCACGCATCATACGTGCATCATACACATTTTACCAGTTGAAAAACAAAATCACTGCACAGCTGGATGGAATTTATCTAATGTTAACAGTTAGGTAGGTAGCTGATAGCATGATGGATGTTAGAAAGTGGCTTCGCCAGGGCACAACGGCAGCATCGGATCAAAGCGGCGGGGAGGGGGAGAAGCCTGCCACAGAGGCCAAGGCCGCTGAGCCGACGCTAATCACCGAGGCCAAGGCCGCCAAGCCCAGCAGCAAAGGCACCTGTGCAACCGTCTTGCAGCCTGGTGACATAGGAGGTAACCAACCCGAGGAGGGGCCTGCAGCTGCCAAGACCGAACCTAGCAGCGGCACCGCCAGCATATTACAAGCACCGCCAGCATATTACAAGCACCGACGCCTCTGTTAGTGCCTGATGACCTCAGTGCAGGTTTGTCTGGGGAAATACCGAACCAGCCTGTACTGTGGGAGAAAAATTGAATTTTGTAGCGCGTGGTTCAAAGGCAGAGAGTGGCTGGAATATTCCTGCAAGGCAGAATTATTGTTTGCTTTCCGTGATTGGAAATGCATTGTATTGTTATGGGGAAGTGTTATTACGGTAATTAGCAACTGTTTTGCATCGCATTGATAGGTATCGTGCATGTAGCTGTGTAGCGTTGTCATAACTTGCAATTTCTTGAGCTGGTTATGAATTGTCCATGTTTGTAAAGCGGTGCAGTAGCCTGTATTCTTGCGGCAAGACAGCCATGCGTGGCTGCAAATACATTGTGTGTAATTGTACTATTGATTAATATCCATCCTGTGTTATCATCAAGCAAAAATAGTTGTGCCCCCTTAGTCATTTCTGATGCCCCATTGCCGAGTTAATCCTGCCGCCGGGCCTGATGAAGCCAACGGTGACTGACTTTAAAACAGTTAAAGAGTTTAATGGCTGTGACAGGAGAAAACTGAGGATGGATCAACAACATTGTAGTTACTCCACAATACTAATCTAATTGACAGAGTGAAAAGAAGGACGCCTGTACAGAATACAAATATTCCAAACATGGATCCTGTTTGCAACAAGGCACTAAAGTAATACTGCAAAAAAATTGGCAAAGCGATACACTTTTGGTCCTGAATACAAAGTGTTATGTTTGGTGCAAATCTAATACAAAATATTACTGAGTACCACTCTCCATATTTTCAAGCATAGTGGTGGCTGCATCATTTTATGGGTATACTTGTAATCTTTAAGGACTGGGGGGGGGGGTTTCAGGATAGTAAATAAACTAAATGGAGCCAAGCACAGGCAAAATCCTAGAGGAACACCTGGTTCAGTCTGCTTTCCACCAGACACTGAAGATTCATTCACCTTTCCGCAGGACAATAACCTGAAACACAAGGCCAAATCTACACTGAAGTTGCTTACCATAGAAGACAGTGAATGTTCCTGAGTAGCTGAGTTACATTTTTGACTTAAATCTGCTTGAAAATCTATGGCAAGACTTGAAAATGGTTGTCTAGCAATGATCAACAACCAATTTGACAGAGCTTGAAGAATTTTGAAAATAATAATGGGCAAATATTGTACAATCCAGGTGTGCAAAGCTCTTAGAGACTTACCCAGAAAGTCTCACATCTGTAATCGCTGCCAAAGGTGAATCTAACATGTATTGACTCAGGAGTGTGAATACTTATGTAAAGGAAATTTCTGTATTTCATTTTCCATACATTTGCTAAAATGTCTCAAAACATGTTTTTACTTTGTCATTAAGGGCTAGTGTCTGTAGAGAAAAAATCTATTTAAGCCATTTTGAATTCAGGAGGTAACACAACAAAATAAGTAAAGGAGTATGTATACTTTCTGAAGGCACTGTATCACAGTTTATAACATCGTGTTTACCTGTGTTGACTTGTGTTTACATCATGTTGACCTGTGTTTACCTGTGTTTAGTTGTGTTTACCTGTTTACATCATGCTGACTTGTGTTTACCTGTTTACATCATGTTTACCTGTGTTTACAACATGTTGACCTGTGTTTACCTGTTTACATCATGTTGACCTGTGTTTACAACATGTTGACCTGTGTTTTCCTGTTTACATCATGTTGACCTGTGTTTACAATATGTTTACCTGTGTTTACATCATGTTGACCTGTGTTGACCTGTTTACATCATGTTGACCTGTGTTGACCTGTTTACATCATGTTGACCTGTGTTTACCTGTTTACATCATGTTTACCTGTGTTTACATCATGTTTACCTGTGTTTACATCATGTTGACCTGTGTTGACCTGTTTAAATCATGTTGACCTGTGTTTACAACATGTTGACCTGTGTTTACCTGTTTACATCATGTTGACCTGTGTTTACAACATGTTTACCTGTGTTTACATCATGTTGACCTGTGTTGACCTGTTTACATCATGTTGACCTGTGTTGACCTGTTTACATCATGTTGACCTGTGTTTACCTGTTTACATCATGTTTACCTGTGTTTACCTGTTTACATCATGTTGACCTGTGTTGACCTGTTTACATCATGTTGACCTGTGTTTACAACATGTTTACCTGTGTTTACAACATGTTGACCTGTGTTGACCTGTTTACATCATGTTGACCCGTGTTGACCTGTTTACATCATGTTGACCTGTGTTGACCTGTTTACAGCATGTTGACCTGTGTTTACCTGTTTACATCATGTTTACTTGTGTTTATCTGTTTACATCATGTTAACCGGTGTTTACCTGTTTACATCAAGTTGACCTGTGTTTACATCATGTTTACCTGTGTTGACCTGTTCACATCATGTTTACCTGTGTTTACCTGTTTACATCAAGTTGACCTGTGTTTACCTGTTTACATCAAGTTTACCTGTGTTTACATCAAGTTTACCTATTTTTACATTATGTTTACCTGTGTTTACATCATGATTACCTGTGCTTACCTGTTTAACATCATGTTGGCCTGTGTCTACGTCAAGCTGACCTGTGTTTGCATCAAGTTGACCTGTGTTTACATAATGTTTACCTGTGTTTATTTCATGTTACCTGTGTCGCTGTCTCCAGGTGCGGGGGGCTGGTCTCCCCAGGACAGCGACAGCTATCCGTGGCTCCAGGTGGACCTGGGCAGCCGGAGACAGGTGGTTGCCGTGGCAACACAGGGCAGGTACAGCAGCTCTGATTGGACAACAAGGTACAGGCTGCTCTACAGCGACACGGGCAGAAACTGGAAGCCCTATCACCAGGACGGAAACATATGGGTAGGTAACACAAAACCAGTGTGTGTGTGTACTTGTATGTGCGTGTGTGTTTTCCTATGGGAATCAGCCAAATGACCTGATCATGGTTCTGTTGTGTGGAAACCCACCAGTGATAAATGTGTTCTGTTCCACTGGAGGGAACATCAAGCTGTTGTTTTTGTGTGCTGCGTCATCATCGTTTGAGACTCATTATTAATTCAACAGTGTTATGTTTCGGCCATTAAACCTGATCTATTGCTTTTAATATTTCTGCAAATTAAAAATTATTACACCATCTATCTTACATCGCTTGTGTAACTGTTTTTAAGGGATGTGACATCTATATTGGTTTTTAATTTAGCGCCGGTGTTAGTGTAAATATTACAGACTAAACTAATATTCATCTGATTATTTTCTCTAACCTTTCTCACACACACACACACACACACACACACACACACACGGCCACACACACACACACCACACACACACACTCAGTACAATACACCTACGTGAAAGACAGAACTTGGCAGAAAGGATGAGATTGTCTTGGATGGAGTTTCTGTTAAATCCTGTACCTCGCCAGGGCGAGAAAGTAAACTGCTATGTAAAAAGAAAGTATTCTCAAGGCAGGCTGCTGTATCCATGGTAGATAAGTCCTGTTTTCATTTCTGCACAATAGGATGAAGCTTAGACGAATATATTGGTTAAAGCTCCCATCTGGCTAAAGAAGGGAACAAGACACAAAGAGCTCTACCCTGGAAGCATATGCTGAGAAGAGAGGGAGGGGGGTAAATAGGAAGTATGGAAGGGAGAGAGAGAGAGAGAGAGAGAGAGAGAGAGAGAGAGAGAGAGAGAGAGAGAGAGAGAGAGAGAGAGAGAGAGAGGGAGAGAGAGAGAGAGAGAGAGAGAGAGAATTTGGGGTAGGAGATGGATGGAGAGAAAGAGAGGTAAAAGTTTTAACCCGTCATAGAACTGCTACCAAGGACAAGTGTTCCTTGGGAAAAGACAGGGTTGTTCAGTCAAGCCCATCCCCACATATGTAGTACAGTATGTGATAAGTGATCTCTGCTCTCTGTATCTCTGCAGGCCTTCTCAGGCAACTCCAACACGGAGAGTGTGGTGCGACACGACCTGGCAAAAGGCATTGTGGGCCGTTTCCTGCGTTTCGTACCGCTGGACTGGAGTGGAGAGGGACGCATCGGCCTCCGCATAGAGGTCTACGGCTGTTCCTACTGTGAGTACACACACAGACACACACACACACAAACACACACAGACACCACACACACAAAGGTGACTCACTGGGTTTGAATCCTGGTCGTCTGTGTGCCACAAGACTGTGTTAGCCCACTGAGCTAAAGCCTAAGTGAAGTTTCTCACACAAGCCACCTCCATTACACACCGCCACACACCTCATAAGACCAATATAATCAGTAGGATGTTACAGCAATGTGTCCCTGAGTCTGAGTCTCATCTCTCACTAGAAATGTCATCAGCACTGGTCTTCATTATGAACTAATTACATCAACTACATAAATGAAGATGGAATTACATTTATGGACTGTCAAAACAGAACACACATGGACACACGCACACACACACAGACATACACACACACACACACACCCTTATCCCCATTGGAGTTCACACACTCCAGACCCTTCTCTCTCATCCTGTTACGGACTGCTAAATTGATTTTGATAAGAAATGTTCAATTAAGACTTGGCATAAATTACCGCTATAAGTAACACGCGTACATTTCTCATTCCAGTGAAGTTATTACTTTTTTCTATTAGCTTCTCTGAACACACACACTCACACACACTCTGGCAGACATACAGGCACGTACACACACACACACACACAGACATGGATATAATTATTGCTTGGATAACCTTATTAACTATTATGTATTGATTTATTTTTCACTCTTTATGTGGTGCGCACTGCACAGAACACCTGAAGAATTATCACTGAATATCCCAGTGAATTATTGTAATGTTTGTTTATGTGTCAATTAATCCCGTAAGGGATGGGTAGCCAACTGGCGAATTGACAAGAAAATAAAATGTAATTCATTCATTCGTTCACACACAAACAAACACGTTCTTTATTCTGATAAGACATAGTGAAAGGTTTTCATTTCTCTACTTCTTTAGTGTACATTAGTTTTAAGTTGAAAGGAGAAGACATTCTTTGATAGACAGCCTGGAGAGACAGGGACAATGTCAACAGGGATATGTGCTTCCTTTACTTGAGGGCTGCTGCTTGAAGTGATGATAACACAATATAACGATAAACACACAAACACACACCAACACACACACACATACTGGCACACACACACAAACACACACACACACACACAGTGCTTTAGCTTGTTTGTGGACCATTGAAGTGATGATAAGACGAATAGAATTCGATTCGGGCTGCTTCTCTAATGTTTGTGTTTGCTTGACAGATATGAGTGATGGTGGGGGTAAGGACACACACACACACTGCGTAGGGATATGTATCAGTCTCTTGTCTGTGTGTGAAAGCGGTTGGTGCATTCTGATTTTCCTGTCAGAGCACATCTCCCCGTCATTCATTCACTCAGCCAAAACATAATATCAGTCAATCAATCAATCAAATGTATTTATAAAGCCCTTTTTACATCAGCAGATGTCACAAAGTGCTATATAGAAATCCACCCTAAAACCCCAAACAGCAAGCAATGCAGATGTAGAAGCACGGTGGCTAGGAAAAACTCCCTAGAAAGGCAGAACCCTAGGAAGAAACCTAGAGAGGAACCAGGCTCTGAGGGGTGGCCAGTCCCCTTCTGGCTGTGCCAGGTGGAGATTATAACAGTACATGGCCATTAAGGCCAGATTTTTCTCCAAGATGTTCAAACGCTCATAGATGACCAGCAGGGTCAAATAATAATCACAGTGGTTGTAGAGGTTGCAACAGGTCAGTACCTCAGGAGTAAATGTCACTTGGCTTTTCATAGCCGGGCATTTAGAGGTTGAAATAGCAGGTGCGGTGAGAGAGAGCTGAAAACAACAGGTCTGGGACAAGGTAGCACGTCCGGTGAACAGGTCAGGGTTCCATAGCCGCAGCGGAAGAGTTGAAACTGGAGTACCAGCACGACCAGGTGGACTGGGGACAGCAAGGAGTCATCAGGCTCAGGTTCTCCTCTCATCATCCTTCCCTCTGTTCCTATCTCCCATTCACTTAGTCAACCAATAGACATTATCCCTCTCTCTCCCCCTCTCTCCCTCCTTCCATCATCCTTCCTTCAATCCCTACTTGCCATTAATTCACTCAAACTATCATATTGCTCCCTCCCTCCTCTCCCCTCATCCCTCTCTCTTTCTTCCCTAATTTTTTCCAACACAGCGTTAGAATGTTTCCTCTTTCTATGTCCTAACCCAGCAGGTTCCAGACCTGTTTCTGAGCTGTTCATTTATCCCATCCCATTAATGCATGGTAATTTATCCCATTAACTCTCCATTAAAGCAGCTTGCCATGGTCCTGTGTGTGTGTGTGTGTGTGTGTGTGTGTGTGTGTGTGTGTGTGTGTGTGTGTGTGTGTGTGTGTGTGTGTGTGTGTGTGTGTGTGTGTGTGTGTGTGTGTGTGTGTGTGCGTGTGTGTGTGTGCGTGTGTGTGTGTGTGTGTGTGTGTGTGTGTGTGTGTGTGTGTGTGTGTGTGTGTGTGCGTGCGTGTGTGATCCAATCAGTTCTGAGCCCTCTTATCTAACCTTCTCCCTGTACTCTACCCGTCTGTGTCCGCTCAAATAGATATGGCAGTGACACACACACACACACATTCACACACTCACACACACACACCTCTCTCCCGTGTCCACTCAAACAGATGTGGTGATGATGATAATGAAATTTGAGCAGCAGTGAATTTTATCTAACCTCCCTCTCTTCTCTTCTCTCCACCTCTCATCTCCTATCCTCCGTCTCCACTTCTCTGTTACTCCTTTCAACTTCAACCCCCCTTCCCTCTCTCTCTCTCTCTTTCCCTCTCTCTCTCTTTCTCAGGGGCAGACGTAATAAACTTTGATGGACAGGGAGTTATATCTTACCGATTTAAGGTAAGAAATAAATCCTTCCTTTTTTATGTAGTCATGTCTGTCTCTGTTTACTTCCGCTTAAGTCTTTGAGACCATATTCTTCCATTCCAGTCCTGGATAGCTACTGGGGGCTACTGGGGTGTGCAGGCTTTAGTTCCAGCCCAGCACTAACATACCAGGACCGGAATTGAAGAAGTCTGTCAGTTATATTTAATCTGACTTATAAAATAAATACATTATTATTTGTAATATATAAAACATTGTTTCCAACCCCAGGTGAAGAAGATGAAGATTATAAAGGATGTGATCGCTCTGAAGTTTAAGACATCAGAAAGTGAAGGAGTCATTCTACATGGAGAGGGACAGCAAGGAGATTATATTACATTGGAGCTATGCAAGGCCAAACTACTGCTGCAGATTAACCTAGGTATAATACACACACACGCTCATGCACACACACACACACACACACACACACACACACACACACACACACACACACACACACACACACACACACACACACATGCACATATGCACACACACACACGTACACACACATACACATGCACACACACACACACACACACACACACACACACATACACACACACTGTCCTGATGTGTGTTTAATCCTGTGATCTCCAGGCAGTAACCAGTACGGTTCGATCCTGGGCCACACCTCTGTGACGTCTGGAAGTCTATTGGATGATCACCACTGGCACTCTGTGGTGATTGAACGATACCGACGCAACGTTAACTTCACACTGGACACACACACACAACACTTCAGAACCAACGGAGAGTTTGACCATCTGGATCTAGACTACGAGGTAAGAAGCTAAAGAAACACAACACAGCGCACACAGACACACACAGACACACACAGACACACACAGACACACATAATTGTTCCACTGCTTCAGAAGCCGCTGCAGACACATTGAATACTTTATCTTTGTATGTAGAGGGTTCCCAGTTACCATCTACTAACTACGATCTCAGCAAAACATCTACGCACACACACACAGCCTACCAGCACACACAGCACAATCTTTCCCCTTCCCCTGCGCATCATCTTCATCTTTGTGTAAGTCTCTCAGTTTCTCCTCCTCCCTCTCAACTCTCTCCCTACCTCTGCACCGCCTCTTCTCCTCCCTCTCCAGCTTAGCCATACGCCTAAGCTGCTATTCACCTCTCGTCCTGATAACGCGTCATCCCTCTCCCCATGTCTGATCCTACTCACCTCTTAAACTCCTCGTGCGTGTCATCGTCCTCTCTCCCTCATCTAGCACTCTGCTCCGCTCCTCTGCCTCACTCCGACGTCTAGCTAGCGACGACTCACAGGAGCCAGACCTGGCAGACGGAAGCGGGCGAGCGAGGTAGACGAGAGAACGCGCGCATCGCCGACACGCCTCCATGCGATGTCCTCGAGAGCGTGGCGCAGTCGACTCTCTGTCTCGACGTCTATGCGACGCTGCGCTTGATAGCTATCGGAGCATACGCGACGCAGCTATCTCTCTATCTCACCTTAAGCTCTCTCCCTTATCTCCCTACTCTCTCTCCCCACTCTCTTCTCTCCTCACTCCTCTCTCCCTCACTCCCTCTCTCCCTTACTCTCTCTCTCCCTTTCCTCCCTCTCTCTCTTTCATTTTCCTCCAAGCGTCAGCTATAATTACCAGTGTGTGCGGTTCGATTTGTTTCCTGTACTTTGAGTAGTACTTGATACCAGAGGAAATTAGAGTTACACTCACTCATCAGGACTAATCCATATTAGACAATTAATGCTGGATGTTAATGCAATGAAACAGTACTGCACACTAATACCACTTACAACAGGAAATTGATTTTTAAATACCAAGAAATATCATACGAACAAACGGATGTGCAACAAGCGAATGTGCATGCATATACACGTGGGTATAATGTGACGGTTGATGAGGATATTGGTAGTTGATTCATTGACTAACTGAGTCACTCCTGACAGCGTGACTGCTTTTACTCAGTGCAGAACTACCCAGTCAATCTTTTAAGCCCTTGGTGTGTCTGGTTAAAGCCTGGATTCCCTTGTACGCTCTTGGCTTTAATTAATATGGGTAGTGAAGCATCACAGTACACACACATACACACACACACACACACACACACACACACACACTGAATGATGACACATGCAATAACATTTAAGGAGCACTAAGACAGTAAAGGAAAAACACAGAATCCCTCTTAGAAGACAGCATGTCAAAATGCTATTTTATACGTTGTTCTCTCCCTCTTTTTCTGACTTATCTTATCTCTCTCCCTCTCTCTACTGTAGTTGAGTTTTGGTGGCATGCCCTACAGTGGTAAGCCAGTGGGAGATGGGATGAAGAATTTCAGAGGCTGTATGGAGAGCATCAACTACAACGGCGATAACATCACTGATCTGGCACGACGCAAGAAGCTAGACACTTCCAGCTTTGTAAGTTACACACACACACACACACACACACACACACACACACACACACTGTCATGGTCTATCTCTGTTTCTTTTTTTTCTGTCTCTCTGTCTCCATCTCTGTCTCCGTCCCTGTCATTGTCTCTGTCTTGTCCGTCTCTCTCTTGGTACAATACATTTTCATCTTACCTTCTTAACATAATACTTGATGAAAGCAAACAGCTAATGATAATCACAAGTAATGATGAGCATCTTCTCTCTCTCTCTCTCTCTCTCTCTCTCTCTTTCTCTCTCTCCTTAGCGTAATCTGTCGTTCTCTTGCGTGGCGTCTCACTCCTTCACAGTTTTCTTCAACGCCACCAGCTTCTTGCAGCTCCCGGGAAGAGCCAATCAGGATGTAGTATCACTGGGGTTCCAATTCCGCACCTGGAACGCTGACGGACTCCTCCTCTTCAGTAACCTTGATGACGGAACACTTGAGATCGCCCTTGACGATGGGAAGGTTGGAGTTCACTTCAACGTGACGCAGACGAAGAACACCAGGATAGACATATCATTGGGTAGGAAGAGAACACACACAGACACACCCACCCATCACAGCCGTCTGTGTGTCTCCAATCCTGCCATCTTGGTAGCGATGATGGTTGCCTCTAACAACTAATGACTAATTAGCAATAATCAGATGGCATTATATCAAGGTCGTTCCTGTGGTTACGCCGCACGTTGTTTTGATGCTGTTGTCAAAGAGGAGACACTGATGGTCGCTAATTACATGATTGTGTGTGTAAAGTGTGCAAATATTATGTTTTTTTTATACACTTGTCTGCCTTGTGAGGAGATACTTAAAAACGAAACACTAGAAACACAAGACTGCAAGGTTAACAAGGACACACTAAACCTTCCAACTCTGATGTGATCGATGAAATCTCCCTCCCTCTCTCTCTCTCTGTCTCTCTCTCTCTCTCAATTCAATTCAATATACTTTATTGACAAGGCAAGTGAAATTACTTAAACTACTGGTCAAAAGTTTTAGAACACCTACTCATTCAAGGGTCTTTCTTTATTTTTACTATTTTCTACATTGTAGAATAATAGTGAAGACATCAAAACTATGAAATAACACATATGGAATCATGTAGTAACCAAAAAAGTGTTAAACAAATCCAAATATATTTTATATTTGAGATTCTTGAAATAGCCACCCTTTCCCTTCATGACAGCTTTGCATTCTCTCAACCAGCTTCGCCTGGAATGCTTTTCCAACAGTCTTGAAGGAGTTCCCACATATGCTGAGCACTTGTTGGCTGCTTTTCCTTCACTCTGCGGTCCGACTCATCCCAAGCCATCTCAATTTGGTTGAGGTCGGGGGATTGTGGAGGCCAGGTCATCTGATGCAGCACTCCATCACTCTCCTTCTTGGTAAAATAGCCCTTGCACAGCCTGGAGGTGTGTTGGGTCATTGTCCTGTTGAAAAACAAATGATAGTCCTACTAAGCCCAAACCAGATGGGATGGCATATCGCTGCAGAATGCTGTGGTAGCCATGCTGGTTAAGTGTGCCTTGAATTCTAAATAAATCACAGACAGTGTCACCAGCAAAGCACCCCCACACCATAACACCTCCTCCTCCAAGCTTTACGGTGGGAAATACACATGCGGAGGTCATCCGTTCACCCACTCCGCATCTCACAAAGACACAGCGGTTGGAACCAAAAATCTCCAATATGGACTCCAGACCAAAGGACAAATTTCCACCGGTCTAATGTCCATTGATCGTGTTTCTTGGCCCAAGCAAGTCTCTTCTTATTATTGGTGTCCTTTAGTAGTGGTTTCTTTGCAGCAATTCAACCATGAAGGCCTGATTCACACAATCTCCTCTGAACAGTTGATGTTGAGATGTGTTTGTTACTTGAACTCTTTGAAGCATTTATTTTGGCTGCAATTTCTGAGGTGCAGTTAACTCTAATGAACTTATCCTCTGCAGCATAGGCAACTGGGTCTTCCATTACTGTGGCGGTCCTCATGAGAGCCAGTTTCATCATAGCACCTGATGGTTTTTGCGACTGCACTTGAAGAAACTTTCAAAGTTCTTGGCATTTTACGTATTGACTGACCTTCATGTCTTAAAGTAATGATGGACTGTTGTTTCTCTTTGCTTATTTGAGCTGTTCTTGACATATGATGGACTTGGTCTTTTACCAAATAGGGCTATCTTCTGTATACCCCCCCTACCTTGTCACAACACAGCTGATTGGCTCAAACGCATTAAGAAGGAAAGAAATTCCACAAATTAACTTTTAAGAAGGCACACCTGTTAAATGAAATGCACATTCCAGGTGACTACCTCATGAAGCTGGTAGAGTGAATGCCAAGAGTGTGCAAAGCTGTCATCAAGGCAAAGGGTGGCTATTTGCAGAATCTCAAATATAAAATATATTTGGATTTGTTTAACACTTTTTTGGTTACTACATGATTCCATATGTGTTATTTCATAGTTTTGATGTCTAATAAAGAAAACACTTGAATGAGTAGGTGTTCTAAAACTTTTGACCGGTAGTGTACATTGTCAAAGTACACATATAACAACAGTGGTCGGACCAACAGCAATAATACAACCATTAAAGAAGAAAAAAATTATAGTAATGGAAATGGAATTAACATTAACAGCAACTACAACAACAATAGTAATAAAAATAAATAAAAACAATATTAGTAGGCCAGTCTCAACATGACTGAAAAGCCACATGGCAAGGTATAAAAGCTCCCCAAAATATTATTTTTACGTTTGCGCTTTTCACTGGCTGTGAAAGAGGCCACATATTTGGCTTTTCACCCAATAAATAATCCTATAGTTTGAAATTCTTTGTAATGAATGATCATTTTGGGAAAGAAAGATTCTCTTAGGTCTGAGTATTTGTCACAGTGTAATAGGAAATGCAGCTTTGTCTCGATCTCTCCCCGGGGGCAGAGTGAGCACAGCCTGTCCTCTCTGGGCAGCCAGGTTTTCCTGTGACGACCTGTCTCTATGGCCAGGCTGTGCTCACTGAGTCTACATAGTTAGTGTTTTCCTCAGTTTTCTATCAGGCACGGTGGTCAGATCGTCATCACTGTGTACCGTCTGTTTAGAGCCAAATAGCATTAAAGTGTACTTATATTTTTTGTGGTCTTTCCAATAGGTTATATATTTTTATTTTTGCTTTGTGATAATTTGGTTGGGCCAAATTTTCTCAGTGCTGTCCTGAGGCTCTATGGGCTTGGTTTGGGTTAGTGAACTGAGCCTCAGAACCAGCTGGACGAGGGGTCTCTTCTCTTGTTTCATCTGTTGACATTGCAGGGCTGTGTGATGAAATGTTTTGGGTTCGCTTGTTTTTAGATGGTTGTAAAATTGTATGGCTCTTTTTTCAATTCGAATAAGGAGGGTGTATTGGCCCAATTCTGCTCTACATGCGTTATTTGGAGTTTGTCTCTGCACTTGCAATATACTCTTGCAAAACTCTGCATGCAGTATTTCAATTGGATGTTTGTCCCATTAAGTAAACACAATATTGGAGAGTGGACCCCATATTTCACTGCCATATTGAGCAATTGGTTCTATAACTGATAGATTTTTCTTTTGCCAGTCCTAATTGGAATTTCGATTTTAATGTTCCTTACAATGGCATAGAATGCTCTTCTTGCTTTGTCTCTCAGCTCATTCACAGCCATGCGAAAGCTACCTGTGTTGCTGATATTTAGTCCTAGATATGTGTAGTGTCCAAATAGAATTTGTATTTGTGGTCCTGATATCCGGACCTCTTGTCACGCCCTGGCTCTAGGGACTCTTTTAAGTTGAGCCAGGGTGTGTAGAGTTTATGTTTTGTGCTCGTTGTGTCTAGTCTAGTTTTGTATATCTATGTTGGCCAGAGTGGTTCTCAATCAGAGGCAACGAGTATCAGCTGTTGCTGGTTGTCTCTGATTGGGAACCATATTTAGTCAGGTGGTTTTCCCACAGTGTTTGTGGGATCTTGTTCCGTGTTGGTTTGTGGTTTGCACCTGTGGACGTCACGTATCGATTTGTTGTTTTGTTCGTGTATCATTTAATAAATAAGTATGTTCACCTTCCACGCTGCGCCTTGGTCCTCTATATCCGACGATCGTGACACCTCTTTTGGAACATCATTATATTTGTGTTTTTTTAGGTTGACTGTCAGAGCCCAGGTCTGGCTGCAGATGACCTAGTTGCTGCTGCAACCTCTCCTTAGTGGGAGACAGCAGCACCAGGTCATCTGCGTACAGCAGACACTTGATTTCAGTGTTGTGTAAGGTGAGACCAGGTGCTGCAGATTCTTCTAATGTTTTTGCCAATTCATTAATGTAGTTTTAAAATAATTGAGCAGCTCCACATCCCTGAGAGAAGAAGTCTGTTTGCGTGTTGCCAATTTTAACCACATTTGTTTTTAGTGATCCAAATGCTTTCTTGAAGTCTACAAAATATTAGTAGATTTTGCCTTTGTTTTGGTTGACTTGTTTGTCAGTTAGTGTGGAGGGTATAAATGTGGTCTGTTGTGGTTTACTTGTTTGTCAGTTAGAGTGTGGAGGGTATAAATGTGCAGTGGCGTGTATTCATGGATGCCAAGGGAAGTGTCATGACTGTCCTGTGTGAGGATCTAAGGCTTCAGATCAGCTTGACAATGGCTGATAATAACCAGACCCTCTCTCACCCACAGAAGAGGGGAGGGGGGACTGGGCTGGTTTTGACACCTCACACCCGGTCGTAAATTAGGCAGGAGGGGAATCTCTCTCTTGCTCTCCAGTATTGATTGGAATGTCCCTTTGTCTCCAGAATACTTTTGCCGCAAAAACTCTAACATCCAAAAAGTGAATACTGGATCTATATTTCTATGATAAGAATGTGGGGAATGGTCAATGGGGACCTACAGAATAATCAGGTCATGTTGTTTGTTATTTTGTGATGTCATTAAAACTCTACTTGAACAGTATACACACTTTATCTGTCAAGTTTTCATCCAATACGTTGTGTATATAATATGGACAATTATGAGAGTATTTTTGTTAAGATAGGAAGGTGATTTTAGTTTCTAACATTTTACATTACATTTTAGTCATTTAGCAGACGCTCTTATCCAGAGCGACTTACAGTTAGTGAGTGCATACATATATATATTTTTTCATACCCCCCATGGGAATCAAAGCCACAACCCTGGCGTTGCAAACGCCATGCTCTACCAACTGAGCTACCTCCCTGCCAGCCATTCCCTCCCCTAACCCTGGACGACGCTGGGCCAATTGTGCGGCCGCCCCATGGGGTCTCCCGGGTCGCGGCCAGGATCTCTAGTGGCACAGCTAGACATGCAATGCAGTGCCCTTAGACCACTGCGCCACTCGGGAGTTGACTAACAAGATCATAGTTTTTGATGATGCTTTGTACCAGTAAGTAGCCACGCCCAGAGTGAGCTCAGAGATCGTGCCAGCCTGATGGAATGCCCCTTTTACCCAGAGTGCATGAAAGGCTAGGTAACGAAATTAACATTAGACCAGAAAGATGTGAGACGGTGGTCTACACGTCTGAAAATGGTTGGAACGTTGAACCTCAACACGAGGTGAAGAAAATCAACTCCCAGACTAAACCTGAACATTGCCAGTCTGCAGCTGTGCGTGT